TGATTAAAAAAGGGGTGTTCTAAGATATCTAAAATTTACCCCATTGTTTGCTCTTATTCTTTGAACTTTATTGGCTAGAAAAGCCGTGGGCAAACTACGGCCCGTGGGTCGAATCCGGCCGTTTGAAATGAATAAAACTTGAAAAAAAAATACCGTACCCTTTTATGTAATGATGTGTACTTTGAATTTATATTAGTTCACACAAACACTCCATCCATGCTTTTGTTCCGGCCCTCCGGTCCAGTTTAAGAACCCATTGTGGCCCTCGAGTCAAAAAGTTTGCCCACCCCTGACCTAGACCCAGCTTATTCTCTTTGTCATTTCTTCATCCTTCCGCCGTCCTCCCTCAGGTTTGTGGAACCCTTGGCTGAGCTGGCCTGGCACAATAATGTTTCTCTTTGGTCTCTTAATAGTGTTCTCCCCATGCAGAGCCTTGTATGTTTGCCACTTTTTGGTATGCCTTTGCTCACCAACTTATTAGGGCCATTGAAGACCCAGCCTACTCATGATCTGAGTGCACACAGAGCATACACACACATATTCATGCTCACACACCCATAAAGGAAATTTTTTTCCTTAAGTCAAGAATAATCAGAATCTAAGGCTTTATAGCAAGTTAAATAAAAAGGAACAAACAAAGCACCAACTTACAACTGTATCATAATAAAACCTTGCATGCTCATAAAAAATAGTGCCAGCATAAGGACTGTTCATTTAAACTCTTTGAGGGTAAAATTTATTCTAAATAAAACCTCACCACCATGCTGTGCCCTTTTATATAAGAATTGGAAAGAATGCTGCAGATCTAGCACCTGTTGAGTTATACAGAAAAAACCTCAGGAAGCCAAAAGTGTGAGTGCATGTGATTAAATATAAAAGATTAGAATGAAAACCTTATGTGGCTATGGTTTCTTCTGTTATTTTAACTCTCCATGCTTTTCTACACTGCCTATAATAATTACAAATTACTAGCCTTATCCTTGAACTTCTTAGACCATGCATATTATGTGAACATCTATGGCTATTCTGAGCACAGAAAGTGATTAAGCTAAAAAGAAAGGTTATCACGTTGCGCTCATGAATTTTGATAACGAGTGGCCTTGTGTTACACACGTCTGTGACTCTGGAGAGCAGCTTTAGGTTCAGTCTTGTGGCAGCTCCTGCAGGGGCTAATCAAGAGGGCTGCTGTGACTAAAAGTGAAGTGGAGGATGCAGCTGCCTGGGAGATGATTTTCATTAAAGCTGCCTGGCAGTGTCAATACAGAATTCAAACTGGATTTTAGAAACAAAATGTGATACTTGCGAGGCACTTGGCATAGTACTCAGAATTCTATAAAGTTGCTGTTGCATCTTTTCACCAAGAACTGAAAGGAAATCTTTAAACAATTATTGACATAAAATTCACCCTATAACTGGCTAAATGTGAGCATTTCCATAGTTCCTTCTACTGATAATTGTTATTTATACGGAGGTTTTGGCATTAAATATACATGTCTTCAGGATGTGAATTACACTATAAACAGAGATCAGAATATAATCCTGAGTTATATTAAATTAATGAAATTTTGAGTAACTTTTAACTTTTCTATTATAATTATTACCATGTTTATCACAATGAAATAAATGTAAAAATAGTTGTAACAAACTTTTGTTCATTTAAGGACAAATATTAATCTTGAGTTGACCTTGGTATAGTACTATACTTTTATACTTGGTTTTTAAACAGTAGCTTTAATTACATAATTTTTTCTAGTAAGATAACAGATGTTTGGGAAATAAACATGGCATTCAGGAAACCTCTCTAATAGATATGTCAGAATTTCTATGGCCATTAAAATATTTGTTTATTAAATACTATTACCTTGACTATTTTAGTGCTAAAGACTTCAGGTAAAATTATCTCTATAAAATAATACTTTGTTAAAATAAATGTTATGCTTAAAATTCACCTGAGAAATAATGAGGAATAAGCTTAGTCCAAGGCTATGCCTTTCTGCCTCAAAGCACCTTTCTGGTTTCCTGGACATTCCCCTTGTGCCTTTGAGACCAGCTTATAGGAGCCCACAGTTCAGCCACATCTCTGACATATAGCAATAAATGTTAGTTTCCCAAATAAATGTTTCTAGTTTTTACTACTTCAACTAAAAGGTTTCACCCTCTGATCTTTATCAGGATGTGCTTCAAAGTATAGAAAATCTAAATATTTGAAAGATTTTGCAGCAATGGCAAATTAAAAAACACACCTGAAAAAGTCATGATTGCTGACCAGAAGAATTTAGGTTGCTGTTAACAGTGTATATTCATAATATTATCATTTTAGATAAGTGCAAGAAAATGCTTCTCGCTGTGATCATTAGGATCTAAAGTGCTTATTTTGGGGGTGGGGGAGTGGGCAGCGTGGGTACACAAAATTTTATTTAAAAAAGATTCTAGGCTAAAAATGTTTGGAAAATAATGCTCTACAAGAAACTGCCTTTTAATTTAATTTGTTAATACAACCTTCAATGTCTGAGACAAACTTAAGACATTTCAATTCTTAAATTCTTCTGCGCAATGGCAACATTTCTACAAATCATCGTGTTGCAGATCTTCAAAAATAGTAACTTGTAATTAAAAATTACACTGAAAATTCATAATTGCTTAGACTCTTTTGATAGGCAGCTTTAAACAAGATTTCTATTTTTAAATTAGTATGTGTATTGTGTTTTAATCTCCAACTATGGCCCTCCTCCATAGAATTCATGAAGGAAGAAATTCAATTTTTCAGAAACTTCTCAAATCACTACAAACTGGTGCTAACTAAGGGCATCAGCATCTTAGAACATATGGGCCCCTTCACATGTTCTTCCAACACAGAAATGCACTGGGTATTTATCATAAACTCCTCAAGGTAAGATATATCCCAGAAGAGGCATTGATTTCCCAAGGAAGAAAAGAAAGAAATGATTTTACTTGATAAAATAAAGTTGCCAAAACGCTGTAGAACTTCCCTATTTTCAATGCATGAAGTTGACATCTTTGCTTGCAGGGGCCAAGTGATAATTTATTACTGTGCATGTGTAACTTGAATGTGTGTGCATCATAAGTGAATTCAAATACATGAGTTTTTACACCATCCAACTACTATTTAAGTCCCTATAGGATCTAGTCATTATGTCAACTTACCCACTTCAATCTGAGAGTAATTTTATATGCTTAATAATACTTCATCAACCATGTTATTAGTTGATGGTATCAGAAACAGAAACCCACATCATTTAGACCAGGGTTTCCTAATTCAGTACCCTACCCATTTTGCCCTGCTCCATAGCACATTTCCTCTAGATTTTATTTCTCTTCTTTCCCTTCTTAACATGCTAAATTAAATTTCTGCATGCATCCCTTATTATATAAGTACATATACGAAGGTAAACAAACTTCATACCTATACTCGTTATATTTTGCACTGTATGAAAAAAAAGTTTTTAACCTAAATAAATTTTAGCCAATTGTGTGTGTGTGTGTGTGTGTGTGTATGTATTTGATTAGGATTAATTTTAACAAGAGCCTGTGGATTTTGGAGGGGAAGGCAAAATGAATGCCCAATCCCACCTCTATGAATTTTATTTTGTTTGTTTAAGGTGTTACAAATAGTAGTACATATGTCTACTTTTTTTTTCCCCATTGACCTCCTGGCCTCCCCTACCCTCCGGCACTTGCTCTCCCCGTCCCAATATCTTGCGTTTATTGCTTGTGCTTATATGCATGCATACTAGTCCTTTGGTTGATCTCTTACCCCCCCCCCAACCCTTCCCTGCCTTCCCACTGTAGTTTGACAGTCTGTTCAATGCTTCGTTGCCTTTATTTATTTTTATTCAACAGTTTATAATGTTCTTTATAATCCATAAATCAGTGAGATCATGTAGTATTCATCTTTCTATGACTGGCTTATTTCCCTTAGCATAATGCTCTCTAGTTCCATCCATGCTGTTGCAAATGGTAAGAATTCCTCCTTTTTACGTAGGACCCCGGGTGGGCAGTGCGGGGGACCGCGGGCTTCCACACCGGGCTCTTCCCGGGTAGCCCGGGGGAGGCTTCCTCTCGCCGCTGGCACGGCGTCGCGGCCTGATGCCTGCGCGCCCCCAACCTCCCTGCTGTCTCATCTGGGTCCCCGCGCCTGCGACCAGGTCTTGCCCGCCTTCCCGGGCAGGGCCCGGGGCACTGCGGGGCCGCGCCTGGAGAGGCGCTGCCCAGGAGCGTCTCCCCTCTTGTCTCCGAACCCTAGTCCT